GTATTCCTTAAGAGCATTTTTTAAAAGCTTTTTTCCTTATTACCAAAGCTCTTGCTCAGTGCAGAGGACTTGAGGAAAAAAGCACTAAGCAAAGCAATCCATTATCTTTTTTACTTTCTAGAAAGAACCTCTGTTAACATTTTGGTGTATGCCCTTCTGGTATGTCCTTTTTGATTTTAATTGGAATTGCATTAAATATATAAATTAATTTGAGGAGAACTGACATCTTTACAATATTGAGCCTTCTCTTCCAGGAGAAAGTTATGTCTCTCCATTTATTCAAGCCTCCTTTTATGTCCTCCAGTAAAGTTTTGTAGTTTCCTTGATATAAGAATTGCACATTTATTTTAAAGTATTTTATTTTTTTCATTGTTGCCTTTGTGAATAGGGTCTCTCTGTTTCCTTATAATTTCTCACTGTTTATTGCTGTTGTATAGGAAGGCTGTACATTTTTTCTGTATTTGTATGCTGGCTCTTTGAGGAGCTGTCTGGCTTCTAGTAGGTTTCCAACTGATTCTCTTGAGTTGTTAAGAAAACAGTAATAAGCGTCTGCAAATAATATTGTGTCTCTTTTCTGCTTGCACTACCATGATTTGTTCATTTTGTCTTATTTATACAATGATTTTAAATAATATTTTATTACGGAGGATGTCTGCCATATCCATTTAGGGAAAATGGTATAATGGATCCCTGTGTACCCACCACCTGGCCCCAGCAACCAGGAACCCATGACCTTTCCAGACCTATTTGTATCCCCTTCACAACTACCCCTCCCCTATGATTTTGAAGCAAATCCCAGATACCATGTCATACCATCCTGTACCCTCACTCTTTAATGCCTGCAAGTTGTTCTGCCATATGGATGGCTTTTAATACATCAAATAGTCTCCTACTTTGGGACATTCAGTTGTTTCTATTTTTTCAATATTATGTCAAGAATATCCTTTGACATAAATGTGTTTATGTGTCTCTAAGTTATTCTAAATTTATATCCCTAGAAATGCTAAATCCCGAGCAGTAAATTAAAATCCCTAGAATTACTGGATCATATGGTATTTTGATCATTTATTTTCCTTTAAACACATACACACCATCACACGATGGCTCTTCTGATTAGAAATAGAACACATGTTCGCTGCAGAACTTTTGGAAAATACAGAAAAACACAAAGAAGGAAATTAAAGTCTCCCATAATCTTGCCACTCAGAGAGAAGCCCTCTTGACATTTTGGGATGTATTCTTCTCATCCTGTTATATGTGCTTTCCCAGCCTGTGTATGCACACCCACGCAGACTCCCATGCGTGCACACTACGTGTTACAGATTGTAAGCCTGCTGGAGTACTGGGTTGGGGGGCACATTGATTTGTTCACTTTTTAAAATACTCACTTAAAAAAATTTCTTAATGGTGGAAACAACCCAAATACCCATTAACTGGGTGGTGAATGGGTAAATAAAATGCTGTAGAAAGTACTATTATTTAACAGTTAAAAAGGAATGAAGCACTGAGATGTGCTACAATGTGGATAAAGCTAAAAAATGTGCTAAGCAAAAGGACCCAAAGACCACCTACTGCATGATTCCATTTATATGAAATGTCCAGAAAAGATAAATCTCTAGAGACAGAAAGTAAATTAGTGGTTGCCCGGGGCTGGGGCTGAAAACCGTGATTGACCGTAAACAGGCTCAAGGGATCTCTCTGGGGTGACGGGAATGTTCAGAATTGTAATGATGGTCACACAATGCCATAAATTTATCCAAAAATCATTGTACACTTAAAACAAGATGCATTTTGTGGAATTTCTTAGCATAAATAATACTGCCATGAAGTCGATTTTTTAAAAGAGTAAAGACGTTAACATAAAGCTTCATTTGGAAAATAAAGAGTAAGCACAGAGAACGAAATAAGAAATCTACCACATAGGACTGTTCGCTTGTGTTGTTTAGAAACCCCTCCTATTTTTCAGTCAATGGTATAGATTCCTCCTTATCTTCCTTCTGTTCTCCCTCTTCTAACGTGGAATTGCACTGCATCTCCAACTTTATAACCTTTGTTTTTCACTTAAAAATATGTCGTGGGTATTTCCCAAATCATTAAATTTTTGCTATTACATGGAAATATATAGCTTATTACAGTTTATGGACTCCTTCTCTGGTGTTGGACATCCCTAGATCCTCCTCTCCATACGTGATCGGTGTGTCCATTGTTGCTATCAGAGTCAATTCCTAGAAACAGAAGTATTGAATCAAGGAGAAATATTGAATTAAAGACCTAAGCATTTTTAAAGCTTCTGGTATTTGCTGATGGCCACCAGGAAGGGGAGGTATACCAGTTGCCACTTCCATCAACAGTCAAGCAAGTGTCTGTTTCCAAACGCCCTCAGCAAACCTGGGTGTCTTTTTTTTTTTTTTTTAAAGATTTTATTTATTTGACAGAGAGAGATCACAAGTGGGCAGAGAGGCAAACAGAGAGAGAGAGAGAGAGAGAAGGAAGCAGGCTCCCTGTGGAGCAGAGAGCCCGATGTGGGACTCGATCCCAGGATCCTGAGATCATGACCTGAGCTGAAGGCAGAGGCTTAACCCACTGAGCCACCCAGGTGCCCCCAAACCTGGGTGTCTTAAGTTATTTTATGTTTGCCAGTGGGACAGGCAAGACGTGGTATCTCACTGTTGACTGAAATGGAGTTTATTTGATTTTTAGGGAGACACACATTTCTTCATATGTTAATAGCTGCTTTGTATTATTTTTTCTTTAGCAAAATGCCCATGCTTACCCTTTGCACATTTTGCTCTTGGAGTATTTGTGGTTTTTTGTTGACTTTTTAGTGTTTATTTTTATAAAATAAAAACATCAACTTTTATACTGCCAAATATGTTATAAATATTTTTCCAAGTTTGATGTTTGCCATTTAATTTTGTTCATGAGAGTTTTGATATATTATTACTTGATATATATTATTTCTGTGGTGTTATCAGCATCTCTTCTTTGGTTTCTGACTTTATTATAATGCCTAGAAGGAGCTCTTCCACCTCAATATTGTATAATATTCACGTACACCTTCTTTTTTGGTACCTTTATACTGTTTTTTTTTTCCTCCTTCCTTCCCTTAATTTCTTGCTCTTTAATCTTTAATCCATTTGGAACTTATTTTGATATACGGTTTAAGATTGGAATCTAACTTAAATTTCTCCCAAATAATTGAATAATTGTCTCAGCTCAATTAATGAATAATTTATATTTTACCTACTAATTGGAAACAGCCACCTTTGTCATGTCTTAAATACTTATCTCTACTTGAATCTCTTTCTGGGGGCTTTTTATCTTATCCCATTGATCTGTCTGCATTTTCCTATGCCATTAGGACATGTTTTTAATTATTTTGGCTTTTATAATGCTTTTTAAATCCGGCAGTGCAGATCACCTGTCATCTCTTTAGGCTGCTGTCTCCTGGTTAGTCTTCCTGATGCATTTTAGAGTCATCTTGTCCAGTAAAAGAAAAAACCCTTCTGTGATTCTGATTGGAATTGCATTAAACTGAAAAATTAATTTGGAATAAACTGACACCTCTATTCTTGAGCCTAACTGTCATGGACCATGCCATGTCTCCTCATCGAAGTCTGCTGCTACATCCCTCCCTTGTAGTGTTTTTGTCATTTTCTTTTTTTTTTTTAAAGATTTTATTTATTTATTTGACAGACAGATCACAAGTAGTCAGAGAGAGAGGGGGGAAGAAGCAGGCTCCCTGCTGAGCAGAGAGCCTGATGTGGGGCTCTACCCCAGGACCCTGAGATCATGACCTGAGCCGAAGGCAGAGGCTTTAACTCACTGAGCCACCCAGGCACCCCAGTTTTTGTCATTTTCAATGCTGAGATTGCTCGCTTCTTATTTGTTTTCTTAATCATTGTGTAATATTTTTGTTGATCTTAGAAAGGAGATCTTTTACCATTAAGTTTTCTTACAGTTGTTGCTGATATAAAGAAATGGTATTAATTTGTGCTAACTGGTTATTTAACTCGACCCTCCTGCTCCTGCTACTTCTTTTTTTTTTTTTTAAAGATTTTATTTATTTATTTGACAGAGAGATCACAAGTAGGCAGAGAGGCAGGCAGAGAGAGAGGAGGGAGCAGGTTCCCTGCTGAGCAGAGAGCCCGATGCGGGGCTCGATTCCAGAACCCTGAGACCATGACCTGAGCTGAAGGCAGAGGCTTTAACCCTCTGAGCCACCCAGGTGCCCTGCTCCTGCTACTTCTTAACTAGTTTTTGTGTTTGGGGATTAAGGTTTTGCAGGAAAATATTTATATAATTTGCAAGATTTTTTTTTTCCTTCCAAGAGGTGTGTCTCTAAATTCTTTTTCTTTCTTGTTTTGTTGGTTAATGGTGTGGTGTGAATCTTTACCCCTCCTTTATCTCTTTAATGAGAATGTCTCTAGTGTTTACCGTTAGTGTGATATTGAAGGCAGATTTGAGCTAAAGATGCTTCAAGGTAGTAACTTTTCTGGTGCTAGTTTATTAAGCATTCTTAACATCAGTGGATTTTGGATTTTATCAGATGCCTTTTTACATCTTGTGAGTTGATCATATGTTATTTTTTTCCTTTGAGCTATTGATGGAATGATATTCATAGATTTATGTTGAACCTCCCTTTCTTTATATTGAACATAACTATACCTGGTCATGGTATGTTTTCCCGGTAATATTCTAATAGATTCTACTTGCCAGCACTCTATTGGGAATTTTCATAGCAATATTACTAAGTTGGTCATTTTATTTGGCTGTTTGTCAGTCTGTGGTGTCAGTCTCTGTTGCTGGCTGAGTGAAATAAACTAGGAGGATCTTTGTATTTCTTATGCTCTAGTCAATTTCTATGCATGGAATTATCTAGGATAACATTGAACACTTTTGGCGGGGGGAATCTTGTCCATAAAACCTTCGAGCCAAGCATCTTTGTTAACATGCCCTTCCCCTTCTGCAGCACACACGATTTTACCCATCTCTTACAGGAGGAATCTTCGAGTATTCAGATGGCCCCAATGCCCAGGTCATGAATGCTGAGGAGCATGCCTTTCGATTTTCTGCCAACATCATCAACAGGAACAGGACTCTGCTGCCCAACACAACCTTGACCTATGACATCCAGAGGATTCACTTTCATGATAGCTTTGAGGCCACCAAGAAGGGTGAGTATGCAGTCTTGACTGTTATGTTTCAGGGTGGGGACAGAGGCAGCCTTGTTTGCTGTCCAGGGTCCTGATGCCGGGTTCCAGCTTTTGGTGGGCTTGAGGCTCAGAGTCTATGTCTCCTGGTTTGGGAATCTGCTTCATTTCCATTTCAGCTTAGGCTGTGTCATTCCCCAGGCTCTCCACCAGGAATTTCACTGGCAGGTGCCATGAGGGAATGAGGGGCCATGGGAGGAGGTAGAGAATGAGGCCTGAGATGGGGCTGAAGAGGTAGAAATGTAGAGGTCAGCCCATATCCCCAACACCTTTGAACTGAAGCTGGAATTTTCAAACTTGTTTTTCTTTCATTGAAATCCTACCCAGAATATCAGTAATTAAAATATGCAACACTAAGTTGCCATAAAAAGACTTACTAAAAAACAAGCTTCTTCTATGGCTTCTTCTAGAAGCTTCTTCTATGGCTCACACAGTTTGACCCCAGAGTCTATGGATGACACTTGAAGTTTGACATTAGCCTCAGCATTCAGTACATTTCCATATTTTGTTTTAGCTGCACGATAGCAGGAAAATTGTGAGTCATAAAAAATAAGCTTTACTAAATCCAGTCAGTTTTCCCCACACCTGAATTTTACAAAATAAAACAAAACAAATGTCGGGTTGCATCCTTCTTTATTAGTGATACATATACAATAAGCTCCAATGACTGCACAGAAAGGATGGGAGAACTTTATTCCAAGATCCTCAGGGGGAAAAAAAAAGCAACTTGTCAGTACCTGAATGAGCTAGCAGTTTCCAAGGTGACATATAGCACATTTGAGTATACACATATGCTCCTTCGTTACTCTTTTAAAAATACAACTTATACACACACACATTTAATTGAAATTAATTTAGAGGCTCAGATAACTCTAGAAATAGCTTCCATATATCCCTAGAGTTCCCTGGAACTCCATTTAAAAATCTCAGACCTAAGGAATCTCACTCCCAGGGAAGACAAGGTCATTTTTCCTACAATTTGCCATCATAACCCCTTGCTTTTCTTCTTCAAGACACGTACCACAATTTGTAGTTAAATAATGTTGTGTATTTGATGTGTTTCCCCTTCTCTCCAATACTACTGGAAGGAAGGCTCTTTCTTGTTAACTGATAAAACCCTAGCATCTAAAAGACTGGTATGTAGTAACTACTCATTGAAATATTTATTGGATAAAACAATGAATGAATGATGTGAGAATGGGGCATGAGAGTCTGAGCAACATTACTCAGGGCCCCTGTCGGCTGAACTTAATGACAGTGTCCTTCATGCATGTTGGGTAGACTGAGGCTCATCCAAAATATCCCCTTGGTCTTTCTAAGGGGCTCCCAGTAGCTAATCAAGGTCTCCTGGACTCCCAAGTATAGACCTGCCAAAGTGCTTCCTGGGGGTGGCTCAGTTTTCCAAAACCCCATTGTGGGTAAACATCTTAGCATAGAAGAGCAGTGTAGCATGAGCTTGGAGCCAGACTGCCTAGCCTTGCACCTTGTCCATTCTGATATTAGTTGTGACCTTGAACAATATACCTTGTACCTCAGTTTTTTGTGCCTCAGTTTTTTTTCTTCTACAAAATGGACCCATTTCTGTGAAGTGCCTAGAACAGTGTCTGGCATGTACAAGGTAACTATACTGACTTTGCTCTTATTACTTTGGTTGGTTTGCTCTCTACCCACTGAGCCATCAGGTTCAGGGCCTCATCTACAAGTACTTTCTCCACAGTTGGTCCCTCTCTCACCTGCCCTGTTCCTCCATGCCTTGTAAACTGAAGGGCACAGGATCCCTGACATTGAGCACAATACCCCTGACCCTTCCCTGAGTCTCAGAGCCAGCCTGCACACAAACTGGAAGAACCCCACCCTGTTAGCCTCGGAGAGTGATCCTTTGCCCATCACCCTTCTCCTTATGCTGGCCTGTTGTCCTCTCTACCCGCATCCTCTCAGCTCTCTCTCCGCATGCCTTATGGCCAGCACTTACAGTCAGCTATCCACCTCCCCACTGAGAGCCCCTGCTGGCATCCTCTGCCTGGCCTCGTCCAGCTAGAAAGTGACTGAACTCAACCAAAAATGCTCAGTGAAAAGGTGAGGACACAGAACAAACGCCTGGAATCAGAACAGAGGTTTACGTGGGCACGATGACCCCAAAGGGCTAGACTGGGTATTCTGTCCATTTTTTCTAAAAGTCACTAAAATAATATGACGACTCTTCAGTAGCACACTTGCGAGTGAGCGCAGGGGCCTTCCCCAGCCAGCAGTGAGCCCAGGGCAGAACCCCAGAGTCTTCTGAGGTACTTCCTCCAGTGGGAACTTAGAGTTCCATGCGATGTGGAACTGCCAGGTAGCGGGTGAGTAGATCTGGGACAGAAACATCCAGTTTTGGAAGTCCAGCCAGACGGGGCCATGGGACCAAAGCCACACCCCCTCATCCCCCACCACCTGACTTGTTTGCTTAAAACTCCAGCTGGTGTGTCCTGTTGTTCTTTCTCCAAATCATCAGAGCCCATGGGGACCTGTCCAGTCCAGCCCAGATGTGACTTTCCAACCACGTCTGGCCTCTGGGCTCTAGCCCTGCCTGTGGTCCTCCAGGTGCCATGCTTTCTCCTACCACAGGGCTTTTGCACTTGCTATTCTCTTTGTGATGCCCCTTCCCTATCCCTCCCCTGCCCTGCTACTTGTCTAGGTCTTCAGAGGAGCCCACCCCAAGTCCCCAGACAAGGTCAAGTCTTCACCTCTTAAACTGTGATCCCTGGATGCGTGTGTGTGTGTGTGTGATTATGTGATTATCTTCCACATCTTCTCCTATATTATGTCTTTTTGCCTCTTCACAGCTGTCTTAAAGAACCATTGTTCTGACTACCAGTGCCATACATATGCTCCTCTGCCTGTTTTTGAACTTTACATAAATAGAATACCAGTGTGTACATTTTGGCAGTGTGTAGAATAAACCCTTGAGATTCATCTATGTTATTGGATATAATAGGAATCTATTTATTGTTGTGTAGTGGTCCACTATACTAATACACCACAATTTTTTAAAGATTTTATTTATTTGTCAGAGAGAGAGAGAGAGAGAGAGAGAGAGAGAGAGAGCTCTGGCAGATGGAGGCAGAGGGAGAAGCAGGCTCCCTGCCAAACAAGGAGCCCGATGTGGGACTCGATCCCAGGACGCTGGGATCATGACCTGAGCCGAAGGCAGCTGCCCAACCAACTGAGCCACCCAGGCGTCCCACACCACGATTTTTAAACTAAAATGTATCATTGGACTTTCAAGTTGTTTCCATTTGGGCCCAGAAAGCAGTGCTGCTATGAACATTCTTGTAGATATCTTTTGGTGCACAAACATGCACAAATGTTTTTTGGTGGGTAGACATGCAGGAGTGGAAGTATGAGGTCACAGGATGTCATGTGTTCAGCCAGATGGCTTTCCAGAGTCCTGGCAGCAAGCCCCCTGGAGGGCTCACGGCAGTGGGGAACCGTCGACACCATCATGAACACTTGATAAAGTCAGTTTTGTTTCTGGTGGTCGTGTGGTGGATATCTCATTGTGGTTTCACTTTGTATTTCCCTGGTGACCAGAGGTCCTGAGCATATTTTCAAGTTTTCATAGATCATTCAGATCTTCTCTTTCCTGGAGTGATTTTTGAGCCTTTTAACCATTTTTAAAATGGAGCTGCTTGTCATTTTCTTATTGACTTGTAGGAGTCTTTTACATATGGTAGGTAGGAGTCCTTTGTGGGACTTGCGCATTGCCTGTATTTGCAACAAGGGAGCTTGCCTTCCCACTGTCTTAGAAATATCTTTTGAGGAACAAAGTTCTTAACTTAAGGAGGTCTGATTTGTCAATATTTTCCATTACAGTTAATAGCTTTGTGTTCTATTTTTGTCTATCCTCGAGTCATGAAGATTTGCTCCCACGTCCTAGAAGCTCTGTTGTTTTGTCTTTCATGTTTAGCTCTAGGACCTGTCTCACACTGATTTTCTCTGTATAGTGGGAGGTAGGAGTTGAGGTTTATTTTTTTCTACACAGTGTTGGTGAGAGTGAAAACTGGTTGAACTTCTCAGGGGAGTTTGGAAGTGTCCACTAAAGTGAGACATATGCCTGCAAGAGAGTTCCTGTCCACTTTATTGATAACAGCTGAATGTTACAGGAAATAAATTAAAGGTTCATCGACAGGAGAATGGATAGATTGGGGTATAGTTGTTCATGGAATTTAAGTTAACAATTTAAAAAAAAAAATTCTCCCTACACAAAACATCATGGATGAGCCTCATAGGCATAATGTCGAGTGAATAAACAGTGGTCACTTCTGGGAAAGGGAGGAGTGTGCAGCATATATTAACTGGAAAGGGGAAGAGATAACCTTCCTAGGTGCTGGGAATGTTTTATATTTTGATCCAAGTAGTAGTTACATGGATGCAATTATATGTAAAATTTCATGGAAGTCTGTACCTGAAACTGATGCACTTTACTATATGATATTACATCTCAATATAAAAAGTTTAAGAGGCTCCTCTCTGCCATCATTTTCCCTTAATGTCCCTCCTATAGATACCATACCCAAGACAGACCCCTGCTGTCATTGGAACCACCGCTGTCTGACCCTGGAGGCATTTCTGCAGTTGGATCCTGCTTCCCCCTTAGGCACACTCCATCCCTTGGGGAGTCCCTTGTTCCCATGATCTGTATTTTTCTTTTGATCTTTGGTTTTTGTAAATGTATTCCTCTGAAGCATCATTAGGGCTCTTCTGGGGGATGACCTTGGGCTTAATTCTAATTAACCCAATGAGAATGATTAATCCTGCCATCACAGCTGGATCCAGCCACCTTGGGCCACGTCAGGGGAGTGGGCACCGTGCACAGAGCCTGGCACATCCACCAGCTCCGCTCGAATTAGTCCTTCCCTCCACGGGAGGCCCAAGAGGCCTTTCCCCCATTCAAAGGGACTTTCACTTATTGTCTTTATTTTTAA